AATAAAGGAATTATTAAGAGATGTCAGGCTGCTATAGTGTATGTGTGCGTGTGTGTGTGTGTAGGAGGGGATTAGGAGACATGTCAATGTTGGGAGAAGGCCCAGGAATAGTGCACTGAGGCACCCAGTGCTGGACAGAAATGTGAGTTAGTGTTTGTTTAGATTATTTTGAGAAAAGAGGTATAAATAAGATTGGATCTCTCTTTCCCCTCAACTCTTGCTCATTCCCTCCCCCAGCTCTTTCACTTTTCCCTTCCCTTACTCCCTTTCCTACTCAAAGAATTTCCATGCTGTTCTAGGTGAGCTAGGTGAAGCATTCTGTGCTCTGGACCTGTTTTCTTCCCTTTCCCCACCCAACATTCAGTAATGTAACCGTCTACCTGTTAATGCCGACCAGTTTTAGACCCAACCAAACTCAATACTCGAATTTTCCTAAATAATTCTTCCTGCCAAAGAGTTCATACTTTTTTTTGAAATGTGATTATTTTTCATTTTGAAATATGGAAATTATTTTTAACAGTTAGAACTTTTTTAAAAGATAAAACTTGTTTCTTAAGTATATTACAGGTACTTAAGCATTCTAGTATTTTTCATCCTAGATTTAAGAAAAAAAAGATAAAGTAATAGTTTAGTAAAATTGCCAGAGTTGAGTAATACCTTAGTTCTGGGTAATTTATCATTGATTATCATACTTGGCATCATTTTCAAATTCTAGAACACATTCCTGTAACTTGCTAGACTATGTCTACTATATACCAATTGTTTTTAAGGCGAAAGCTTTAATTTATCTTATGAAAACAGTGACCTTGTGAATAAAATCCTAGTCTAACTATAAAGAAATTTAGATTCCACTGTTTCCTTTTTCCTATTGAATTTCTGGGAAGTCTTATCAAGTAGGTATTGATACTTATTTGAATTCATTGTGACTTTGTTAGCATTTGAATGCTTTAGATTCCCATACTGAAAGTTGGAAGAAGACCCATTTCTTGCTTAGTTACCCTTGTACGATGTTAGTTTTAATGTCTAATAATTTGAGCTTTTTTACAAAGTAAGATTATCATAGAAGAAATACATGTTCGTTTTATAAAAAGAAAATTAATTTTTTGTCAGTATTATTCTTTATTTCTTCTGGATACTGAAAACTTGTGGTCACATAAGCAAACTCGTGGAGTAATTTTCTATAGCATAAATAGGCTGGCCTAGAGTATGGGTTTATTTTTTTCTCCCCTTAACTTAGATATAATTTTTTCATTAACCACTTTTGCTTAACCAAAAGGAAGTCTTTAACTATTTTAAAACTAACTACAGTGTTTAACTTGTATAGTTACTGAATAATGCTTTTTTTCCTTTCTGATTAATGTTCTCTGAGCAACATAATTTTACATTTACTTTAGCATCTATTAATTTGAACTAATAGTTGCAGTTGTAGTAATATATAATAATATTTAATTATAATAATAAATGCTAACATTTATTGAAAGCCCACTACATGTAAAGGACTAAGGCCCAGTAAAGAATGTATATGTAAGACAAGGATGTGCATTCTGATAGTGAAGCAGAGCTGATAATGTAACTGTGAATTGACACAAATGCCGTATAATTGGTTGTGTTGCGTCATAAGATAATGTAATACTGTATATGACAGATGTTTGGCTGCTCTTTATTGTTGCCCAGGTTTACATTCACCTTTACTTTTCATCATGCATTATTCTTGTCACTTGAAAGGGGTTTTCATCTAGGTTCAGTTGCTTGTCAAACAAAGGCGAGTTATCAAGGCAAAGAGGATAACCAAGGAAGAAAGTAGTTTTTAATATGACAGACATCTTGCCAGAACAGAGGATGCTGCCTCAAATCCATTTCTCCAACTGACAGAGATCACGGAGATCATGGGCTTTTAAAGAAGGGGCCAGAGGGGACACAGGCCTTGGGACAGGCGGTGCTGTAACAAACAAGGGTCTACAAGCTTTGGAGGAAGGTTGTAGTGGGTGGTGAATCTGGTCATCATGAAGTCTGCTCAGGGACCTTCACAGCTCCTTTGTCTTAGGGAGAAGCCACCATTTCTGGGAAACAACCCAAAAGGTCCAGTAGATAGTTAAGGAAGAGGGTTATAAAAAACATACAGAGGTTATTGAAATTTTTTCATGTGGCCTGGTATATTATTATACCTGCATTTGTATAGTCTTACTTCTTTGGCCCAATCAGAATCTTCTTAAGTATTGACATACTATTGATCATTGAGGTTCGAACTATGTGGGAATTCATGTTTTTTTAAAAAAGGGAAATTACTACTTTTTGTATCTTATGACAAATTTTTAATTTCTACCACCAAAAAGGATTAAGTATTTATACGTTTGAGCGCTAAGCAAATCACATGGTTTTTCTAAGAACGTAAAAATTTCAAAAGTTTTGAATGGGATTACTGTTGATGTACTTTTGACTTTTAAAGGATTCACATGCCTGTCAAACAAATCCAGGGTATGGGATAAATAACAATAAAGGCTTAGAAAAATGAAATTTCCGTTTTAAAAAAACTTGCCTCTACCCTTCCCAGAAATGAAATAAAAATTCTATATTAGAAACATGAATTCAGAGTAAGTATTGCTTATGACTTCAGTTTCTCAGATGGAAATATAATCAACTTTTTTTAAAACAAAGACTCAGGTTACATATATGTATATATTCATCCTAGCAAATTTTAATTTCCTTCCTCCTTTCCTCTTCACCCACTTTCCCTTTCCTCTCCCACTTTCCCTCTCTTCTCCTTTCCTTTGGGACAAATTTTTAAAGTGGAAAGCTATCGAAGATACTAATTTTCTTTCAGAATAGTCTAAATTTTCTTCTTAAGTTTAGAGAGCATCTATTCTGTATGTAAAGAGCATTTATTATGCTCATAGAGGTGAGAGGTTGTGGGACTACTTCTTAATGAGACCAAATCATAACCACACTTACTTTCTTTAGTTTAGTGACTGAGCAGGCATTTGTTCACATAGATAAGATTTCTGCATATGATTTTTATTTTGTGTAGAAAAATATTATAGTAAATAATGCATACTTTAGTATGGGTCAAATTTATTTTGAAAAACAATAAGTATGGTTACATTTACTGAACAGCTCTTCAAATATTTACATCGGCTTTCCCTAAAATTTTATCTACATTTCAAAATCAATGCTGTTTTTTATATATATTTTAATGAGACTGTTTTGTAAAAGTTTAATGATATTGTTTGAGTGAAACTGATCCACCAAGGAACTAAAATTAGTGCTTTAATTTTAAGCTTTATTTCTTAAGGAAAAATATATATGACTATTAACTATTGTGATCCCCATATTAAAAATAAAAGCTGGTATAAACTGTGAAACATTTATACATAGCAAAAATGTAGTATTTATATATAATAAACTTCCTATCAAACACATTTTCTATTTTCAGCTATATTGAAACCATTTCTGGCTCGGTGCCTATAGCTCAACCGGCTAAGGCGCCAGCCACGTACACCTAAGGTGGCGGGTTCGAATCCCCAGCCCAGACCTGCCAAACAACAATGACGGCTGCAACCAAAAAATAGCCGGGTGTTGTGGCGGGCGCCAGCTACTTGGGAGGTGGAGGCAGGAGACTCGCTTGAGCCCAGGAGTTGGAGGTTGCTGTGAGCTGTAATGCCACAGCACTCTACCCAGGGGGACAGCTTGAGGCTCTGTCTCAAAAAAAAAAAAAGAAACCATTTCCATTGGAAGTATTTCATAGAAACTTTCATTAGATTAGTTGTTTCCACTTGTTGGAGAGCTAATAATACCAAAGGTAACTATTATACAGTATTTCTAATAAAGTTTATGAAAATACTGAACACTTGTGAAATTATTGAGCAATTTATCATTCATGATCATGAAAATACAATTTCTGTTTGACTTAACTTTTAGCTTAGTCTTTATGTTTTTTGTGGGGACCCACTATTTGTTTATGTTAGTTCTATGAGATCTATCTAGTTTTAGACTCTTAAATACCCTAGAAAAACCTAAAGCACACTCAGTGAATGTCAGTAAGGTTTCTCTGTGAATACAATCAGGGAGAGAGAATATTTGCCAGCCTCAGAGAAACAAATTTTAGTATTTGATTTTGGGGAAAAATTATTGTATACTTTTTTTTTTGGCTGGGGCTGGGGTTTGAACCTGCCACCTCCAGCATATGGGGCCAGCGCCCTACCCTTTTGAGCCACAGGTGCCACCCAAAATTATTGTATACTTTACTTGCTAGGAATAAGGATATGTGGGTACGAGTCAACATGCATTGAAATTTTTGAAGACTTAATCTGATATAAATATAAAGGAGTTTGTATGATTGATTTGAAGTTCCTAAACCTCTCTTTTAGGGATTTATTGCATTTGTTTATAATAGTTTTTCAGTCTTGTCCTTAAGGAATGTAGATTAAAATATATCACCCTTTAGAGTTAGAGAATATTACTGATTTGGGGAGAATGATGTATTAAGATACAGGAGTACAGAATTGGTTGGTTGGGGGTTGTTTTTGGGTTTTTTGCTTTTGAGATTTACCGGAGGAGTAGAGGGACTAGTCTATAGAATGGATCTGAAACAAGACTATTAAAATTGGATTTAGGCAATTTTGTTAATTAAAAGTACACTGATGGGTGGCGCCTGTAGCTCAAGTGGCTAAGGCACTAGCCACATCCACCTGAGCTGGCGGGTTCAAATCTGGCGTGGGCTGCCAAACAATGACAACTACAATGAAAAAATAGACAGGCATTGTGGCGAGTGGCTGTAGTTCCAGCTACTTGGGATGCTGAGGCAAGAGAATTGCTTAAGCCCAGGAGTTTGAGGTTGCTGTGAGCTGTGACGCTCTACCCAGAGCGATAACTTAAGGCTCTGTCTCAAAAAATAAAAATAAAAGACCCCACAAAAATAAAAGTACACTGAAACCAATGATAAACAGCATGTGATTTTTCTACAATGGATTACCCACTGCTTTTTTCTTCCCCATTTCCCACAGGACAGTTTCCTCCAATTCCAGCACAGGACCTTCCTTTTGTTCTCAAGGCTGGCTATCTAGAGAAACGCAGAAAAGGTAAGCTGTAAGATTCTAATTAAAAAATCCAAAAATGTTTTCATCCTTAGAGAACATATGTTCTCAATATACATGTGGAAGCAATATGGTCTTTAGATGATTGAGGAGTTTTAAGACTATAAAAAAAGTCTGGGTGACGTTATTCAAACTACAAAATATAACTTATAGCCCTAAGTAATTTTTTTGTAAGAAAACAGTCAGGTTTTTAGTTACCATCCTTGGTTATGTGTAAATGATCAGGAGCCGTTTCCGCCTCTTCTAGGAAAGCTGCAGGCCATGACTCGAGGATGGGATTTCTCACCCTTATCTCACCTGGCTGAGCGGCAGGGTATCTTGCATACACCAGCCTGCTGTGGTTCCCGTTCTGATCAAGCCTGGCATCTTGTCTGCCATTGTTATTCATTTCAGTGTTCCTCTCCATTGGCTGTGATAACTGGGAGTTGACCATATGGTCTCACTCTTTCAGCACCAATACTTAATGGAAATGAAATGCAAAGGTGGTGTTTATGATATGAGACATGAAAAGCAGAAAGTCTTTTTACTACCATTCTTATCTCTCAGGTAGTTCCTTTGAACCCTTCTGTTTATATTCCATTAGCTTTACTTAGCTGAATTTTAAAGCTAAAAGAGATAACAGAAACCATCTAAGTCAACTCCTCCTTCCTTTCATAAAAGAGGAGAAAACTGTGAATCCACCCAGATGAATCAGTTATCTCAAGACCATCCCCTGATATCTTTTTGATTGTTCCTCTTGGGGAAGTTGCTTGGCCATGTAGTTGATTCCCTAAGTATGGCAGCCCCATCTCTGCTTCTCTTTGTTCCTTTGAACTTGTTAGTTTGTTGTTGTTTGGATTTTGTCTCTCAGAAAAGAAGATACAAATTAATTAGCGATAGAATGTTAGAGCTCATAGGCATCTGAGAAATCATATTAGCTAACTTTTTCTTTTATAGTAAAGAAATGACCTTACATTTATAAATGTAATGTATACTGTCTAAACTATTCTTATTCTCCTGTATTATAGATCACAGCTTTCTGGGATTTGAATGGCAGAAACGGTGGTGTGCTCTCAGTAAAACAGTGTTCTATTATTACGGGAGTGATAAAGGTAGGATTGGTGTTCAATTATGTCAACTTCTATTGCATGAGCATTTTTTGGTCATTTTGCCCCTCCCTCTTATTTGGATACAGAATAAACTGAAGGCAAACAGAGAAAGAATAACTGAAAGTTTTAACAACTATAGTTTAAGACTGATTTATATTTAAATTTTATTATTTGATAAGTGCTCTGAATTCCAGGGGAAAGCCTCAAAGTTAGTACAGTTATGTTTTATTGTGACTCAGGAAAGAAAGTAAAATAAATTTCATTTGTGTGATTTTTTTCACCTTAGGAAATATTTAGGCTATAGTTGTAGAATTTTCGGAAAAGTTAAGACAATAACGTTATGAGAGTTTCAAAGGCAGAAGAGATTATTTTTCTTAACTATTTTAAAAGTAAAATTTGGATAAAATTAGCACCATTTACTTTATTATGAGAACAGAGGGGTTAAGTAACACAAGTCAAGTTCACAGAGCTGGTAAATGGCAGATTTGGGAGTTTTTTTTTTTGAGACAAATTCTCATTATGTTGCCCAAGCTGGAGTACAGTGGCTTTTCACAGGCATAATCATAGCACACTGTAGCCTTGAACTCCTGGCCTCAAGCAGCCTTGAACTCCTGGCCTGAAGCAATCCTCTTGTCTCAGCCTCCTGAGTAACTGAGACTATAGGTGTGCGCCACCACACACAGCTCAGATTTGAGATTTTAACCTAGGCAGTATAGTTAGAGTTTGTTTTCTATTTTTGTAAGACAGAGTTTCACTCTGTCACTCATGGGTAGAGTGCCATGGCATCACAGCTCATAGCAACCTCAAACTCTTGAGCTTGAGTGATCCTCTGGCCTCAGCCTCCTGAGTAATTGGGACTATAGGCACCCACCATATGCCCAGCTAGTTTTTCTATTTTTAGTGAAGACAGGGTCTTGTGCTTACTCAGGCTGGTCTTGAACTCCTGAGCTCCACCCATCTCAGCCTCCCAGAGTGCTAGGATTACAGGCATGAGCCACCGTGCTGGGCAGAGTTCATGTTCTTAACCACTAGTGTTACTATGTTAATTTAGAAATAATAAGATATATTTTGTAGCTTCATTTGCTATTTAGTAAATCTCTTAATCATAGTTTACATAATTTTAAGTTTATCATTTAAATAATTAAAGCCATGAATGAAATTGAATGGAGAAGCATGAATCCTATGTATTCAATTTTGACATACAGACAATTAAGGACAAGAGGAGGGGGTGAGCAGAGAGAGGAAGAAGGAGGGAGGAGTGGGAAAGGGATTAGCAGAGAGAGGGAAGGAGAGAGGGAGGTGGGGTCTTGGTGTGTGCCACACCTTTTGGGGGCAAGACATGATTGTAAGAGGCACTTTACCTAACAAATGCAATCAGTGAAACCTGGTTTCTTGTACCCTCAATGAATTCCTAACAATAAATTTAAAAAAAAAAAAGAAGTTTAGAGAATGTAAGCTTTCTTAGTTTTGCTTTTTTCTAGGGAAAGCAGGCCAGGAGTTGAATATTATAAAGTAAGGGTCATAGAGAAATTGATACATTCATTTCCAAAACGGACACTTTCAGAAGAAAAAAGACATAAATGTCGAGTATCACTGAATATAAGCTTTTCCTTGGAGTTAGTATTTTCAGTTTTTTTGGTAACAGAGCATTAGTCTATCACTGAGGCAGGCTTAAGCATTCCTCCCACCTCCCCCTCCTGAATAGCTAAGAATAGCCACTACCCCTGGCTAAGTTTTTTATTTTTTGTAGACATAAGGGTCTTACTGTGTTGCTTAGACTGGTGTTGAATGCTTGGCCTCAAGTTATAGTCCTGCCTCAGCCTCCCAAAGCACTGGGATTACCAGAATGAGATACCATATCCAGCCAGAATAGTTATTAATATTTATCAGTATTGTTGGAAATCTATCTCATTTGACATTATGTATAGTTTTTAGGATTTTTCCCCTTATTATTAAATCATGCAAATAAGATTACTATAGTTTAAATAAATTTGAAATACATACATAATGCTAAAAATTGTTCTCACCTTTTGGCTAATGAGATTAACAGATTAGAATTGATTTAGGACATGGTGGTAGACATCTGTAGTCTCATCCCAGCTACGCAGAAGGTTGAGGAAGGAGGATCACTGGAGCCCAGGACTTTGAGTCCAGCCTGGGTAACAGAGTAATACTCTGCCTCAAAAAAAAAAAAAATTAATTTAGTAGCTAATTTGCACGACCAATTTATAATTTCTTCAAATATGTTAATGACATCAATGATGTTTAAACAGTAAACAGCTATAAAACAAGTAACCTCTTTCTTCTGCTAAGGGTAAGGGGGTATAATAGGTTAGAAAATTTAGAGTCTAAGTTAAATTATGATTATCATAGATCATAAACTTGTGTTACTATTATAGAAATATAGTTGTTTACAGTAGTTAATTTATATCAAGATCTTACCTTTCCACAAAGAAATATCCTCCTTTTCGTCAGACCAGGGAACGGAGTTTTCAATCCTTGTGACTTTGTTTCAATTGGGCTTCTCGTTTCTCATTTCTTTAAGAGTCCATATATGAGGTTGGACAATTAAAGTTTGTGAGCTTCCAAGTACTCCCCTTGGCTAGCTGGTGAAGCAATAAGTTATGTGGCACTTTTTCTAGGATGAGTTTTTGAACTTAATTGTCCATTCTCCATTTCCATCCTGACTGGTATAGACCAGCTGGTAAGTCATAGATCAGCAAGAATTTTCCCCAAACCCAAAGCTTGTTAATATTTATTTCAAAGACTAATATTCAATAAAAATTCTATTTAGAATTTTTTGGATATTAGTTAAATTCCCGTTTTTACTCCTATTGGATGAGACAATAGTAGTAACATTCTTGTAATTTGCATTTTAACTACCTTGCAATTCATTTAGTCTTCCTTATCTTTTCTGCTTTTTAAAAATTACCATTCTAGCATTCCTTTATCATGCTAGCGTTTGAAGATCTGGCTTGTATTTCCTTAATTTTTTCCCTATATGTTACTATGAAGTCTCCTATTTCCAATGAAATTTCAGATCTGTTTTTAGTGGTTCTTTTCTCTTTCAGCTGTTTCCTCTGAAATTCTCAGCCAGTTCCTTTACTTTCAGGGATCTGTCTTTAGATTGCTCTTCATCATTTGTTTGACATCATGCTGGTTTCTTTTCTTCATGTCTTTTTCTTTCTAGGAAAATGTGTCAATTTTTTTTTCTTTTGTGAAATTAGATAGCTGGTCTGTGCAGACTTTTTTTCTGTATGTGTGAACCATTTGCTTAAACTTTGGAAAGAGCTCTTATTTAGATATATGAGAACTATAATCGTTCAACTAAGTAGGATTTAGATAAATGGATTATAGAGGCACAGCAGTTGATACCACTCACTAGGTTAAACTGTATCTTGTTACTATTTGACAGATACATAGTTCACGTTTTTTACTGTATTCTGTGTGCCAGAAAACATATTGACCTATCAAGATAGTAATGGTTTAGAAGGAGTAGTTCTATCCTCTAGGGTAAATAATGGATTTACCCATAAATATTGCCCATATTTATTATTCATAACCATTTGGGGCCCTTAAGTAACAAGTATATATAGTGCATATTTTATCACCTTATGAAATCACATCCATCCTTTCATGTCTTTCTTTTTCCTTTGTATGTCATGAGTCTCATTCATCAAGCTTCTTAGGTCCTAGATACTCAGATGTCCATCAAGACATTTATTCTTTCATTCACTTATTTATTCTTTTTTTAATTTGATAAACACTTCTTGGACATTTGGTAAGTAATAGGCACTGGGGACCCAAAAATCCTTAGAAATGCTTGTAGTTTGGGGTGTGTGGGTATCAGTGAGAAAAAGAGAAAATGCTATGAAGTTGATGGTGGGAGCTGGGCAGGTAGACTTCTAATTTCAATGCAGTACAGTAAATAATTTAAATAAAACATCTTTGGATCACAAAGCAGGGAACGCTCACTGCCAAGGGGAGTTAGGGAAGACTTCCTAGTGGAGAGAACACTTCATCGGGCCTTAAAGAATGAGGAAGAGTTTCTTGGGTGAATGCTGTGGTTTGAATGTATGTGTTTCTCCAAAATTCATATGGGAACTTAACTCCCAAGGAGATTATCGTAAGAGGTAGGGCTTTTTGGAGGTGATTAAGCCATGAGACATGGGATAAATTCCTTTGTATAAAAGGCTAGCACGAGCTCTGGAGCCCATCTTTCACCTTTCTACCATGTGACGATAACAACATTCATTTCCTCTGAAAAACATAGCAACAAGACAAAGTCTTGAAGCAGAGAGCAGCCCTCACTGCTGGTGCCTTGATCTTGACTTCCCAGTTGCCAGACTGTGAGAAAGAGATTTCTGTTGTTCCCATTTTTGAGGGGAGATTATTAGTTCTTAATCTCTTGATATCTCTCTTCAGGGTTTTTACCCCCCCCCCCATTAAAGAATATTCCAGCACCATCCATCTAGTAAGTAGCAGCTTTAAGTAGCCATGGTCCTATCAAGTTATTCTTAATAAGTATTGAAAGTTATTTATTATATCATCTTGTTGTAATTTTCTCATTGAAATACCTTTTCTTTCCTTCTTTCTTTCTTTCTTTCTTTCTTTTTTTTTTTTTTTAGACAGAGTCTCATTATGTCACCCTAGGTAGAGTGCTGTGGTGTCACAGCTCACAGCAACCTCCAACTCTTGGGCTTAAGGGATTCTCTTGCCCCAGCCTCCCAAGTAGCTGGGAATACAGGGGCCCACCACAACACCTATTTTTTTGTTGCAGTTGTCATTGTTGTTTAGCTGGCCTGTGCCTGGTTCAAACCTGCCAGCCTAGGTGTATGTGGCTGACGCCATAACCACTGTGCTATGGGCCCCAAGCCTGAAATATCTTTTAATGTGTAATAAAAGTTAGTAGAAAATTGGGCCTCATCTGGACAGTTTAATAAAACAAAACTTTCAGGACTTGTGAGGGAAATAAAATTTTTTATTAAAATTGACTTCCCTGC